CAAGGATCTCTGAAGAGAACTGTGAGTTGAAAAATCAACTTCAGTAACTAGTTAGTTATTTAGTATTCTTGCCCAAGAATGTAGCCAAGTAAGCAGTAATCTAACCCCCTCAAATATGGTCGGGTCCAAAGCCATCAATGCACTATATGGCGATATATCAAAGAGCGTAGCTCATACGTAATGACAAATTTAACATATGTCTGTTGTCTGGTCAGACCAGAATATCCACGCCCATTGGGAAAAGACTGACATCTAGATTTAACTAGAAAAAAATAACCTGTCCTTCAAGATGATAAATTTAAGAAGTGAATGATTACTTGTTATAGAAGTCCAAAGCCAATAAGTGCATTATATGGCGATACATTATTGAGCATGGTTTTATATGTCAGAAGGAACTCTGCGCCTCGAACTACAGCCTCTCGTCCGTTCCAAACCAAGCCTTGCACTGCACGAGGGACAAATTGTCATGGAATGTATGTTAACAGGAGGAGAGAACATGGCTGCTTGGTTAAGAGTTAGGTCAACTTCGTCTTTTGGTCTATAAAAACTGAGATTGGCGGAATGGCTATCATGCCATCTTGAACAGGCAAGAAGGGGTATAATTACCGTTTCCCGTTTTCTGGATCGTTTTTCGAAGTCACAGTGTATTCTTACTATAGTTTTTAACGAGCAGCAGACATCCTTATAAGGAGAAAGACACCCAATGCTGTTGCAGAGTTCACATCATTTCTCTGCAATTCGTTTTATTAGTAAACGAAAATGCCAGTTTCAAGGTAATTTCTGTAACTAATCAGACAATCAATAGAGATTAGAATAGTACGGAAGAGAAAACAAATACGATTCAATCTTTCAGCGTCTTAAAAAGTACTTATAAATTATTTAACGACGAACAAAAACATGTGTAAACGAAACGTGGGAAATTTTCATACCATCCCAGTTTCCAGTCTCTCGTCAGGGACCGCGGGTCATCAATGAAAAACAATAGCAGAAAACGGAAACAAGCGCCATCCTTTAAAATGGTTCCTCATCTGATTTTTGAAAAATCCTTACCTCTAATCAAGGCAACTGTCATCTCGACTGATTCCTTCTTACACAAAGTAAGCACCAAATTTTTCTATAGATATACTCAGTGTGGTGTCAGCGATTAGCGATAAAAACACCACTCTGAATTTCATTTGATAGGTTTGACTGTAACTAATTTTGAAGAAAATGAAGAAAATTAAGTAAGAGTCCAGGGAAGTTGAAAACTTATGAACAGTAAAATACAGTATTATTGTAACAAGCAATGGTTTTAATAACCGGGTTTATATTTCGTTCTTTGATTTTGTCCTAAACTGAGCTTTATCCACCAAAACAATAATTTACTAAATTGAAATATAAACTTAATAACGACCGGGGTTAAATAATTGTTTGCTCCTGTTTCGTGCATAAAACACTCGACCTTAGTTCCTGTAGCCACGTGCTTTCACAGTCCAATGTTGTATTTTTGCAGAGCTGTTGTTTTCAGAGGACCTAATTTTGAATTAATTAGGTTAAGCGTATTCCGCACAGGAGAAGCATGTTTTTGAACCAGCAGCATTCCGCAAACGTTTGGTTCGTGGTTTAGTTAAAGACTCATATGCAAAGAAAGATCTCTTAAGTGAAGTAATTACACTCTCCTTTTCAACGAAATGAATATAGCGAAACCCCGAGATACGCTTTGTAAACAATCATTATTAGGAGATGTTCACTATCCTTCTAAGTTATTTCGCTATTATCGGAGCAATGCAACAATTTCAGGACTGAAATACCGTTTTGTGATACAGCAATATGAACGGTAAGATGAAAATATGTTGCATAAGTTGTATATTGGACGTAAGATGCGAAACAGTTCAGTTTGCGAGTGGCCGTGTACATTTTTGACTAACTGACGGCACCGTGAAATCAGCTCATTTTATCCAAATTTAAAATTTGATTAAATCGCACTGAATCTTTTCCCCGAAAAATCCTTCGGAGATCGAAAAGAACCACAATTTGCCTTCCAAAAGCCAGATTTTCAGCCGACTATTGTATTTAGCACATAGTTAAATAACGGGTTACTTTTGACCTACTTTTAATTTTGCTAGAAGAAGGTCCCACAAATTCAATGAGACGAAGTAAATAAACGATAAAGAATTGCTCCAATTGCTGTGAACATAGGGTCTCTGTAAAACGCGGACAGGGAGGAAGGGAGGAACGCAAGTATTGGCAGATGTCAATGAACTCCGCCTTTTTTACGTGAAGTTTTACCTTGGGGAATTGAAATTATAATTGCGCGAATTATGCATGAATTCCAATCAAATATACTTGCGATTGTAACCTTTACACTACAGCCAAAACAAAATAAGAAATTTTCCTCAAGACAAGTAAATTTTAATCACTTCAAGTAAAATAAAGCTTTATAAATAACTGATCTTTTTAACTTCAAGTTAACTTGAGGCTTTTTTCCTCCGCAACATAATTAAGATTGAATGACATGTCTCCCCTTTCTCAAAAGCTCAAAAAAAAAAAAAAAAAACGCGCAAGTAAGGATGGTTAAAGATGGCTAGGTTAAAGCGCTTGAAACTTTCTTGAATCATCTCAACTTTCCGACTTTAATGAGATGCAAAGTAAAGTTAATACTTGAGATTGTATTTAAGCTTAATACAAAGGTGTTTAATGAAAAATACTTTTTAATTCCTCGATAGATGGAAGCTTTGCGTAAAGATTGTGAAAATAGAACGAAGGCCAGACACAGGCTAAAGCAGCATATTCATTTATTAAAGCTTAAAAATATAAACTCTGTTACGTGCACGAATGACTAGCAGATGTCCACTAACAAAGCATACATAAAAATAGACTCCCGAGTACGATATAAGGCACGCAAAAAAAATTTAACAACAAGCAATGAACCCTTTTTAACTATTATTTGATTAGTTTAACACTGTTAAATTTACTTAGATTAGAGATTAAGTTAAGCAGTTCACAGAGCAGGCTTACAATCCTTAAGCTTCATGCCGTCTGAAGTGTTCATCGTCTTAATCAACTTCGAATTCCAACTTCCGCCGACTGAAGACCACAACGCTTGGCTTTCTTAATTCACTGCATTCTTTCCGTGTACACAAACGCTTCCGGAGGACTTCATAGTAGACTCTAAATTCTTTATCTTCTTCCTTTCTCGGCCATCGTCTTTTTCTTCTCTTTCTTCTCTCCGGATATCGCAAAGATATAAAGTCAAGACACACTACGTCCTATCTCTCTCCATGTTGTGTTCTCACTCCCGCAAATCGGCAAACTACAAATCGAAGATTTAAAAGGATACAGTTTACTCAGGAAGTGAGAAAGCAAAAGCCAAATTGAAAAGGACAAAACCATTAGTGTAACAGGAACTCACCATGTGATCGATCTTAAAAACAGGCAACTCCCCGCTCTCTGAACGAGAACTTCCCACCACGACTTCCATCATGGCAGGCGTCAACATGAAAGAGTGGCAGCGTTTCATGAACGAGAGCGTTGATTGATTTGTATTGCGACACAGGCAGCCGAAGCTCACTACTAGAAGCGCGGACGTGACTCTTGCAGTGTTGCGCAATGGTTATGTATAAAGGTTTGTATGGGAAGTTATCGGTTTACCTTAAAAGAGAGAAAAATGCCATGTTTTGAATTAAAATTGACTTACCTTATTGCCTTGTTGTATTCTTTGTTGATTACCAGCGTCTCAGGCCATCTTGAAGTGTCTTGGCGAGTTAGCGCTATTTTGGTGTTTTAGCAGTGGAACAAGGGTAAATCCGAGGGAAATCAATTTTTTGTTCAAAATAAAGGGACTTAAGCAACAGACGGAAATAGTGCATCTGTGCATGTCTTTCTTTTTTATTACCGCAAGGCTTTTGATTTCACTGATCACGGAACTTTGGCGGCCAAACTTAGGGTGGTTGGGGTCCCCAACAGTATAATTAATTGAACCCTGAACTTCTTGTCAGATCGGTCCCAGAGGGTTAAACTCAACCGCGACTGTATGTCTGAATGGGGTGCGGTACCAGCGGGTGTCCCCCAAGGGACAAAATTGGGGCCCTGGCTTTTTTTGCTTATAGATCAACGACCTCTTAACCCCCAGTGCGTTCTTTGGGATGTGGAAGCACGTGGACGATACCACCCTGTCAGAAAAAGTACCGAAGGGGCAACAAAGTAGAGCACGAGAAGCAGTGGACCATGTTTCCAACTGGTCAGCGGAAAACTTATTCTAGCTAAACCTCGAGAAGACTAAAGAGCTTACTATCAGTTTCCGTCGTCCGCCGGAACATTACAACCCAGTTATAGTTGATGGGACTCAGATCCAAGCAACTACTTCTAGCAAGCTTCTTGGCCTTATCATCAACACACTAACATGGAACGATCATGTAGATAGTTTAGTTAAGAAAGCAACTACGAAAATTTATTTCCTTGTGCAACTTAAACGTGCTCGTGTTCCAGCCGAAGATCTTGTTGCCTACTACTGCGCATGTATTAGATCCTCCCTTGACTACGCTTGCTTTGTGTTCCATTATTCTCTACCTCAGTACTTATAGTCAGAGTTAGAAAGAGTTCAGAAAAGAGCTCTGGCGTGTATTTTTCCAAGAATGCCGTACGGGGAAGCGTTAGAGCGCGCCTGTTTGACTTCTAACAGGGAACGTCACGAAGATATCACAAAGTCGTTATTTTGATCAATCAGCGAGAATCAGAACAGTAAACTACATTACTTAATTCCTGTAGCCCATAGCCCTCATTATAACTTAAGGGGGCCGTCTAGTCAGATTTTTGCAAATGTAGTAACTTTAAAGAAACAAAACTCTTTAACAATCTCATAGAAAACTATGAAATTTCGCTCAGAGCATCCCTTTACAAAGATCTATTCAGGATATTGAAATCGAGATGAAATGATTAAACCGTAGTTAATTATTAACTTCTGAACTTCATATCATAAACTGGGGGTTGCTGTCTGCCCCCCATACTTTTTTCCTATAGAATTCATTGAAAATGGTTGAAACTTCTCAGGCACAACTACCATGGATTAAACTGTGATCCTATGGAGCAGATTCGGAATAGGATCTTTGGTGCTACCATGGCAACCGAACACTTCCATATAAGGAAGTTGATCTAATATCTACTCAATTATTTAACTAAATCCAATTTTGCTCCACAGGATCACAGCTTACATCAAAATGATAGCCTGTACCAAATTTCACAAAAATTGGTCATAAAATGAAGTAAAAAAAATGGTGGGGGCAGATGGCAACTACCGCAAAAGAGCAGTTTTGAGAAAACTGCTCTTAAAGTTGTGAGAAAAGCCCCTCCTTTAACAAATGCAATATCAATTTAAGGTGATTATAGCATCATTCAGCACCAAAATATCACTCTCAAACAATTTTGAAATAAAAAGAAAAGAATATTAACTATATCGAGGCAGTTTTACACTCCTGGGGGCTACAAATTAAAGGCTCCAGCCTCATATGTTGGGCCTTCTTTGTTAAGTCTCATGTTCTCATCCCTTTTCCTTGCTTGGCTCCTGGCAAGTCTGTAATTTTTGTGTTGTCCCTGAATTCTCTTCTCTGCCTGTGACACTCTCTCTAAATCTCTCCTTTTACTTACTGTTTTGGTAAAGGTTCCAACACCAATGCCAGCCTTGACCATAACATCGTGTTTGGCCTTTGCGCCACAGCTGAAATGCAGTGCTGCTGAAGCAGATGCAATGACAATCCTCTTCTTCCCATACCATTTGTGTTTAGGGAACATGTTCCAAACCAGAGCATTAATAGATTCATTTGCATTCTGTGTGATTCCAGGGAGACATCTGTTCAGAAGAGCTGGGTCGCTGAGCCTGCTGTAAATTGGTTTTAGATGCTTCACAAAAACCACATCAGGGTGATGGGGCTTGTCAACATCTTTTAGTCGCTTCTTGAATTTACACCATGAGTTTACAGGGCAGTATTTGTGTCTCTCTTTAAGTTTCACATAGCCTGAGCAAAAAAAGGAACAGTTTATAAAACTGGCTCAAGAAGGTATGGATGAAAGTTTACATAAATTTACCTGAAGCACAATATTGGCTGGCTGAGTGAACCCTCTCAACAAACTCTAGAAGACTTTCCATGTGCACAAGCCGATACCCCTTAGCTTGGCCACTGGCATTTCATGAGAAATATCCTCATCAGATCCACTTTCATTGTCACTTTTCTGTAGCTTTCTCGAAGAAACACAGGCACGAGGCTCCGGAATTTGCTCGCTTACCACGTCATCCTCACCAACAAACGTGATCTCCAATCTTAGGTCTCTTCGATGCATTTTCCGCGATCTTTCTGTGCTTTGGGATACCTTTGAAAGCCTTTCTTTTCTTACCACTAAAACTTTTCTTTGTAACTCGTTGTTTTACACCAGATATATTTCCTTTAGGCATGATTATTCGATGGTAACCAAGCTGAAGTAATTTGAATGTGTTCAGGGAACAAATGAACGATGGATGGATCGTCTGCGTTTACTGAGGATCCAGGCCTTATAATGTTAGTTTAAATTCAGGAATCGGATAAGGACCCCTGGAAACCGAATTCGGAGAGCCTTGAATCGAGACATCTCGAGGAAAAGCGTCGATTTTAAATTCGGTTTCCATGGCAACCGATCAACACTGGTTTACACAGTTTTTTGTTGCGGAAATTGCGTTTTCCAAGCTTTTACTGATAAAATTGATTTAAAAAGGATTTCAAAACCTTAAAGTAGATGGGTTAAACCATCGATTTAAGCAAAAACCAAAAAGTGGTTGGATGACCAAAAATTCGCAAAAATCTGACTGGACGGCCCCCGGCGCCAAAGAATGTACAATGTACCAGCAGCCAAGACAAATGGTTTTGCTAATTCGTTTTCCGTGGCTGAAACCAACCCAAGTTGAGATGTAATAGAACTTTTAATAGAACATTAAGTCATCATATTTTATATTTGTATAGTAGTAGCTTGTAAAACCTGCGCAATTCAGTATTTTACTGGTATGTGAATTTAATAAACCAGTCTATCTATCATCTATCTGAATTTAACCGAGTTCGACATGGCGGGGTTTGACTGTAATGACATGTTTTATGGGGTCCCTGTAAAACGAGGACCGGATAGATGCGGATGGCGGATGCGCATAGAAAAATGCGGATGAAAAATTGCGGATGCAAAAATGCGGATAGAAAAATTAGTCTGTTGGAAAAAAAAACAAACAAACAAACAACAACAACAAAACAATATTCGTTGAGGTAGTAATTAAAAAGTAATTTACCTTTTGCTCCGGTTATTCAAGATTTAATAGAGGAGGGAATTTACCACGAAAAAAGTCCTCAAAGCTGGAATGACGGGGGACGGTAGTTCCACTGACAAACATCAAGAACTCTTGTCTTCTTTAATTCGCAAACTTAACTGAAGTTCCTTGCATGCAGTTCAAGCTTCAGTCTTATCTCTCTATAGTCTAAGTTATCCCTGGACATTTGGGCGAGTGACAATAGCTAAGGGGTGTGTAACCAATCAGTGAGAAGTGTAGTTTTTCGATAATATAAAACAAAAAATAAACAAAAAACAAAAAAAAACTCGATACAAGCAAAAATATGGCGGGAAAAATATCCGCGCGTGTGCCAAAAAAGTTAAGAAAACAAAGATACGTTCGAAAACAAATGTCCAAGGGTAACGTAAACTTTACAAGCGGTAACTACTACTTGATAAACAACAGAAAGAAAATTAAAAATAACTTTCTTACACCTCCTTTAGTTTGTTAATCTCGGTATTATACAACAGGGGCAAACACTAACTGAATCAAACATCTGAACTAGCACCGTACCATGGAAATCATACTATTAATATCAAAACCAAAACCCTGATACAGAGGAAAGACCGATAATACTTGCACTAACTTTATGCCAAGTTTGTGCTTAAAGGCCCATTTTCAACCGAGATGCCTTGCGCAACCAGATAATTTTTCATGTATGAAGAATACGCTATTTTCCTCGAAGTTGCGGAATCGCTTTGACATCTTCTTCCATCTTACTAATTAGGGCTTTCAAAGTTCCATCTTGAATCATGTGCGAAGAACAAACTATCGTAGTATCTATATCAGTAAATAGTTTTTAATTCTTACATGTATGACGGTGAAAAACGTGATTTGAAAAGTTGATGCCGCCGAAGAAGTGGTCTAGAGGAAGGCCGGGTCTGCCCGGGCTCGGCAAAGGTTATTCGACTTCGAGAGTCTGTGTATGATTTATGGAGGGCAAGGAAAACAACAATGGGTTTCGGTAACACTACAGACAGTGCTTTTGCAGAAATGTTATTGCATTGTTCCTACGATGGAACTAGAGACTCCGGGGAGATTTTTTCGAGGTGAGAATAATTATTTGACTGATTTTTACTTGAGATCCTGAGATATGTATGTAAGCGATCTCATTTGTACAAGTCATTATTCTATAATTGAAATGCGTAAAGTAAATCAGTTTTGGCCAATATTGGTTATTTGTTTATATTTTATTTAGTGTTGAAGCCGAACAATTTCCTTCAACATCAAGTAAGCTTTGTACAAGTTTTATACACAGACTCGATTTATGATTTTTCAGTCTCAAATATTTAGCTGCAAATTTGTTTACTGTGTTCTTCACCAAATCTTTGTTTTTCTTTTTAATAGTGTTTGTGAATGACTATCAGAGTTCGCCATTTAACAATAGCGCGATTCCAAAACAAAAACAAACGACTGCAAAGGATCTCGGATGAAAATGGGCCTTTAAATACAT